AGAGTGAAAAATTTAAGGGGGTGTGTATACTTTCCGTACCCACTGTGTGTATATATATATATATATATATTTTATTTTTTATTTTATTTTTTTATTCTTGTGACATTGTAAAACTGTCACTATTTACTGTCACTATTGATCTATTTAATGCAACTCTTACTGAACCCAAATGTTAAAGGTGGGGTAAGTGATTTCTGGTAGCCAATGTTGATATTTCAAATCACCAAATCGTTCCCACGTACTGCCAAGTACAAGAAGTGTTAGCTTTTTCTATTTGAATATATGTTAAAATGTAATTTATTCCTTTGATGAAAAATTGAATTTTCAGCATCATTACTCCAGAAATCATTCAAATATGCTGATTTGCTGCATTTCTTATTATTATCTATGTTGAAAACAGTTCTGCTGTTTTTGTAGAAACCATGATTCATTTTTATGATTCTTTGATGAATAGAAAGTTCAAAAGAACAGCATTCTCTCCTCTGCATCATGAGTAGACATGCCCCTTACAGATGATTGGCTAGACATTTGTTTTGGTACTCGGCCCGTTTTCTAAAGCCTTTTTGAAAAAATACATACCCCACCTTTAAATCAGTCATGTAACTAAAAGCACAATGACACATAAGAGGACAGTCATATAGAGTTATGGGTAAGGGTCAAGCCTCACCCATGCTGGATTTCGTGTCACATCACACATTAAATGGTTAAAAAGATCTGTGCACTGTATTAGACATCAGGGTTAATTTATTGTTGTGATTGCCTAACATGACTACACGTTTCACTTAGCATTAGCTTGTGTGTTTTGAATTACAGTAAACTGTATGTAAAATGTAACGCTGTATAAATACTTTATAAATATTTCTTACAAAAAATGTTAATTTCTTATCATCAGAGGTCAAAGAAGCAGCACCAGAGGACTTGTTTTTCTCAATGACAGACTCGAAGAACCGTAAGTTTTACACTGTGCGTGTGCATGTGAGTGTGTGTAAAATTTCTCTGCATTTACATTTCTATGGGTTTTTGATTACTCTGCAGAAACTTCTTCACCCATGAAGGAGTACATGAACAACAGACCAACAGAGCTGGAGGGTATGTGGTTTTACTGACAGTTACAATCAAAGCAGTTCGCTATTTCGCAAACCTTATACTTTGTAATAATATTATGTGACTCAACAAGTGAACAAACCTCTGGCGTTTTTAATAAGTTTGCTTCTTTTACGAGCCAAAAGTATGATTTTGTATATTTAAACTGCTGTGAAATAATCACCACACTCTCTCTGTTATCATTCAGGATGTCAGGAAAAAGAAGAACTGATCACTGGTCATGCTTCAGCCGTTCATGAGGATGGTGTGATTAAAGGTAAGAGACCTTAGAAATCAGACATTTTGTGAAGTGAAGTGAAGTGAAGTGACATGTGGCCAAGTATGGTGACCCATACTTGGAATTCGTGCTCTGCATTTAACCCATCCAAAGTGCACACACACACAGCAGTGAACACACCAACGTGATCTCATGATTATTCGTATGTATTTTACGTAAAATGTGGTTCTATAAAACGTACATTTACTTACGTTTTTACAGGCACTAAAACGTACAAAACTGACGTATTTTCAGCCTCTAAACGTACGAAACTGACGTATTTTCAGCCTCTAAACGTACGAAACTGACGTATTTTCAGCGGCTGAACACACACACGGAGCAGTGGGCAGCCATTTATACTTATGCTGCGGCGCCTGGGGAGCAGTTGGGGGTTCGGTGCCTTGCTCAAGGGCACCTCAGTCGTGGTATTGAAGGTGGAAGAGAGCGCTGGTTATTCACTCCCCCCACCTACAATCCCTGCTGGTACGAGACTCGAACCCACAACCTTTGGGTTACAAGTCCGACTCTCTAACCATTAGGCCACGACTTCCCACCGACTTTGCTGTATAGTAAACTGTATAAAACAAAACAAACAAAAAAATAATTTGATGGTGAATTGTCTGTATTTAGAATGTTGTACTTCATTGTGTTGTGTTTTAGGGTTAACAGAAATTTCTCTTTTTTTGTACATAAAATGCAGGATTATGATAAAGTTTCAGAAAAAAAATCGATTATGACAAATGACTCTCACAATTTTTCTGTTAAAGATGAAGAAACACCGGCGTCAGAAGCCAATGGCCTGACATCATTTAAAGGTAAGGTTAAATTCAGTGTTATTGTAGTATCATTGAGAAACTATTATAGTAATTTTCATTATTATATTTCCTGTTTTCATTCAAATTTTTGTTAAAGTTTTATTAATTTTATCTGTGTTTTTGTCTTTTTATTATTGTTATAATTATTATTTTATTTTGTATATATATATATATATATATGTGTGTGTGTGTGTGTGTGTGTACAGTGCGAAATCTCAAAACATGACTACTCACTACTAATTATTAAAGTATGAGCTTAAAGTATGAGATAAACAATTTCAAGTGTGATAAACCCAAGAAACCAGATGTTGAGTTTGCTGTCATATTTCTGCCTCTCCAGGACTCTGAACCGTTTTGCCAGGAATCACCATCATGATGGAGTTTCTGTATTTGCACTGAGGCACAGCTAAATGACATATGCTTATTTTAAAATGACTGCATATAGCACGGCACTTTGTGTAGTAGCAGCTGCACATTTGAGCCCTTTTAAAAGATATATAAAAAAAGGTTTATAAACATGTAGAACTGAACTGCAGTCTTGTGGAGACATACAGCCGTAAATAAAGACAGTGAATGTCGGGGGAGATGAATAACAGACAGCAAGAAATGACAATTATCAGAAGAAAAAACATTTCTGTACATACCCTTAACATCTGATATTGCAAATATTACAAGACGACACCATAGAAAACAAAAACTATTTATTTGTAATGCATCTAGTGGATTATTTTGTTATTGTAATTTATTTGCATATTGAACAAAAGCTTTAATTATTTCCTCTGTATATGTGGCATTTTATTTGTATTTTTTATTGAAGATCTTTTCTTAAAAGTATTTTAAGGTTTGAAGGTTTAAGGTAAGGTTTTTTTTCTACCTATTAAGATCGTTTAACGTGTTTTAGTTTTTGATTATTTACATTCAAATAAATGAGTATGTTTAGTTCAATGATGCAATGAATTATTGATCTTTCACTTATAATTATTAACAGTGTGTTCTCTTTTATAGATACCTCTGTTGATTTATATTTACGTTAAGTTTTAATGCCTAGAGACCCTTACGAAAAAGAAGTTTATTCAAGTGTGCTATTAGTATACTTCTTTTAAACTACAAATAGGAAAGTATACTTTTAGTCTACTTTGTATGTACTTCTCAGAAATATACTTAAAATTACATTTAAGTATACTTGACTTATACTTAGAAAAAGTCTAAATATATTTTAGCTATAATTGTGCTCCTAGAATCCGTGTTTTCATTGTTATACTGTAGTACTGCTAGTACACATCTTCTGTACATAATTTCCAAAAAACACAAGTGAAGAAGAAACCGAAACAACAGATGCTTCCACATGTAATCTAACACGATCATCAGACATAAAACAGCATCAAAACTGTGTAACGTTATGGAATAAAATGTCGACCAATGAAGAGGTAATAATGACTGTCAAGCTTTGGGGTGTTGATCGATTTTATCTACATTTTGATTATCATTCTGAATCCAATTCATAGTCTTTTTTCAGCTTTTTGTTCAAAATGTTGTTTATTTCTTTATTTTTTATTTATGAAACTTATCCACATTCAAGTGTTTAAAAAAAG